TGGAGAGAAAATGTTTTGAGAATGATGTACAAATGCGCTTTACACAATTGATGTGTGTATGGATTGGGATAACAGTTGTATGAGCCCCTAATATGTTTTTTTTTTAAAAAAGGAAAAAAAAAAAAGAATTTAATTCTGTGTTCATGATTCAGAGTTTTTGTATTGTTAAGCTGAAAAATAAAAAAAGAAGAGGAAAACAAAACAGAACAAAACAAAAAAAGATGTGCCCGCTCCCTTTTGTTCCTGTTGGATGGAATGCAGGCATAGTGGGATTCATACTGGATTATGCAGACAAGGGCTATACTTAAGAATGGTGGTACAACAAGGAGCTTGTGCCCCTTATAACATCATGGAACAGATCCATTGTACTGGATCAAGCTTTTACATGTGAAAGGCACCAAGAGCTATCTTGTATTCTTGTTGTTAGTTGCTGTCAAATTAATTCTGGATTTTCAAGGCTGTGTCTTCTGGGAGTAGATTGCTAGATCTGATTTCTAAGGTGCCTTTGGGTGCATTTGAACTGCCAATGTTTTGGCTAGTAGTCAAATGCTTAACCATTTGTGCTACCTTGGGAGTCCCTGGCTTATGTAAGCCATTTGAAGTTGATGTCACTTATTTGGAGCTCTGCTACTTTCAGCCAAATTAATATCTGAACTAATATATCTACTTACAATTCCATTTGACATGAGATGATGCCAATGTAATTTTCTACCACTATGATTTTTTTTATAAAATTCTTCTACTTCGGGTATCAGATCTTCCAGTTCAGTGGGAAGTGAAACAAATACTTTCTCAGAGCTTCTTGACCAAGCACCAGCATTCAGAATTTTTATATTCACAGAGTCAGCTACGGACAAAAAGATCAGAAAATATAAATCTACAATAGTCACAACAGTGGATAACATTCAGACTGAATAACAGTGTCATCTTAAATGTCAAAGTGAGGGCGAGGAAACGCTGTTTGGATAGCTGACTCTAAGGAATGTGGATTTTAACTGCTAACATTTATGGTTAATTTAATAGAAAACACATGTTTTTAGTGAATTTGAAATATGCATTGAGTTATAATACCTGGTAAAGCCAATTTATTATTTTTGTGCATTTCTTTAAAAGCTTGGTTTAAATCTTCAGATACTTTTATGTCTTGAAACATTCTGGCCAGTTTGTTGACATAATCTGCTGGCATTCCAACTTCCTACAAAGAGAAGACAGAAGAGGCAACAATAATCTAACTAATTAGATAAACTGTTAAATGGAAAACAAAGTCTTATTTAGATGATATAATATCAAAGTATTCTCCTTATTAAGCTTTCATAGCTAACCCTAAAACGTTTTATTTTCAGAGCTAAGTAACATAGTACAGGTATCCCTTGCCCTGCGTGTGCCATCACACACAAATTTCAGCTCCTACAGCCTAAGTAGCAGACGCTAGTTCCCCACAACACTGCTCAACTTTCACTTGTCGCTTTACATTAAATGTGAGTGCATGAAGGACAAATGGGGGCCTTCTTCTGAGGCCCTCATTACACAAGGTACTAGATAAGAAGCAGGGCACGGTATCACTTCTT